CTTAGATGGGCTATTCATATTGAAATACTTCAGCACTTTTCTGCAATTGGAAAACTCATGTTGAAGATTTCATTGAGGTTTTCAATTCATTTTTTCTCAACTATGAAGATCTTTTTAGGTTAACGAGACATTAATAAAGCTGAGGAATTTGTTTGTTTTCTGTATGAAGAGGATATGAAGAATGTAAATGATACCAGGGCACGTCTATTTAACACTGGCAAACATAAGGATTATACTATTTCACCCAACAATGATTCACTGAAGAAGCATGTGGCCCTCAAATCAGTTCTTGAGTTGGCAAACTGCAAGTGTAAGAAAAATAGTCAAAATAATTTATGCAAGTGTGCCAAAATCAACTTAAATTGCACAGATTTTTGTTTTTGTATTGACTGCAAAAATCAGAGTACACTTATAGAGGAAAAGTCGATTTTTGAGATAGAGCATTTCGAAAACAATTCCAATGAAAGTGAATTAGATATTGCAGTTGATTTAATAGGTATCATTTTTTTGTTGTTGGACATTTGTTAGTGTCGTAGTCCTGTTTCTAGAAATAATATTGCCTTTGTTCAAATACATAACCACATAAACTAAAAAAAAAGACTAATTGTAATATTTCTGTTCACTATGTTATGTACATATTGTACATTCATTTAATTTTTTTGACTTTTCCGGTAAATTTCTAAGTGAGAAATAACTAATTTATTTGTGTTTTCGTGCTAACGATGGTAATTTGTGACTTCATTGCTTAAAAATAAACACGTTTGATAGCTTCTATAAAATGGATGTAGCTTTTTATGCTGTTCTTGTTGTAAACTGCTTGTGGTTATTACATAAAATTTATTCGCTAATGTGAATCAGCGTTGTTGGCGTCGCTGCTTTCGAGGTCACTCGCGACTCCTGTCACACAATCAAAAGTATTTTTCGTTGTTAGTTACATGTATGCCATATTTTTCGTAATCTACCTAATAAATTATGATTGACTGAGGAAGTCCGATTTTGGTCAGGCAAAACATTACAGAAATACATTTGTGTTAGTGTGCTGTAGGGCTCTTATGTATGTGTTGTAAGCTTATGGGTATTGAATTTCCGGGAACCTCTTATATTCAATTTCGCATCAGGATTGTGGAACAAGCTGTAATGCGTTCAGTATGTTCATTTTCACACAAAGAGTTTCGGAAAGAGCAATTCCCATAAGATTTATGCATTGGAGTCACGTTCAGTTGAGCAGGTGAAGCCATACTGCATATGGTCATCAGACCAAGTTTTTTTTTTTTTTGGATGACATATTTCACGAAAAAGACTCCTCGGAATTGCAAAGAGTTTTTAAAGAAAAGAAACGTTGAACAACTCTGAAAATTGCGGTGCAATCTTAGATACCAATACGTTGTGCCGAAATGACCATTGTAATGTCACAATGCCGTCGACAGAAAGGGATGAGACTGGGCATTTTCAATTACTCGATTATTTCAGAATCGAATCGAATATTTTTTTCAAATCGAATCTCGAATACTTGGGAGTCAATGCGACTTTTTTATTGTAACTGGTCCTGTCAAGAAATGAATTACTGAAAACATAGAATACATCATTGAGACCAATTGCGGAGCGTTCCCACACAATAACAAAACGCTTATTATCAATAACTCACTACAGAAAATAGTCATATATATGTCAGAATTGCATCGAAAAAATATGACTACAATAAAAAAAATTGGTAATTCACCTCGACCATTGGCGGGAGGTAATAGACAAGATGGCGGCGATTCAAAATTGTGCTCCAAACCAATTTGATTAATTTCCTGTTCGAATATCCGATTCGAAGTCCCCAGCCCTACTCGTTGGCAAAAAGATGTTTTTTTTGATATAAAAGTTGTGCCAATGGAAAGGGCAAAACCTATTAGTATGTTATAAATAACATTTCGTTTACGCAAATATTCAGGTTCAAAACCCCGAGGTTAGTAATAACAAGCTTAGATACTTGGAGGTCAGAAAGCATCTAAAAATGATGTCATACGGAGATACATCCAAGCGCGTGACGTCTCTCATTGACAGGTCTCATGAAACAGTTATCTGCGCAATACTACACATAAATAGGCTATTCTATGAATGATCTGAATGTTGAAATTTGGATATCTGCCTCGAATTATCTTTATTTTTACATATTTAATTGGCTTGGAAATAGAAACACTTCATAATACACAACACAAGTTCACAGGACCTTCGTCGAACCCCTGGTACAGCTTCGCCGAACCCAAGGGGTTCGATCGAACCCAGGTTAAGAAACACTGGATTAAGGTGAAGGGACTACTTCATAAGTGTGGAAATATACCAAACAAAACAAAATAGGATCCACAATCATGTCCATGAAATAGGGGAAGTTAGTACATCTTTATGAAGAGTATCAGGACAGTAAGTGATTTTTTTCAATTTGTATATGTCATATCTTTAATGCTAGAAGGTTATTCCTAATTTTTACAACGGTGCACCGAAGAGTGCCTTGCGCCCTGTTTGATGCACATCTGGGGACAGTGAGAGACCCTTGGCATGATAATCGGATGTGATGACTACGTACAAAATACCAATACTGGGTATTGGTGCATTAGTTTGCCACTCCTAAATGACATAAGTCTTTGAACTTGAGTATTTTGTTGGTGACAAATAAAGGGTGTAGAATAAGATAATAGAGGTTATTTTGTAAAACTTTCATTTTTTTGAGAATTTGCTGGTAAATTATTATCTCCATGCAATCAACGATACTGAATGTGAGATTGGAATAGGGCAAGGTATATCATACGCAGAACTCGAGTGGAAAGAAGTTTATAAACTTTTCTCAGAACGCAAACATTCCGTAATAATTTTCCTAACCGATCTGTCACATGTTTATTCCAATTTAGGTTTTCGTCAATATATATGCCTAGAAATTTATAAAAGTCTACTTGTAACTTGGAAAACTGTAGTTTTGGATTGTTTGTTTGAAAGTGATTATGAGAAATTTTGATTTGGCGATGTTAATTGACAATTTATTAATGGCCATCCAATTTTGAATTTTGATGAGTTCATCATTTATATTTATCCTGCAATGATGACATAAATGGGGAGCTGGTTGACAATCCTGTGGTATCTGAGCAGATTTGAGGCATTGGGAAGATCTTTTACATATAAGAGAAAAACTAAAACTCCAAGAATTGAGTGCTGGGGGACGCCACAGGTAATATAGCGGGACTGTTTAATAGTAAATGAAGATTTCACCTGCATAATGTTAACAGATGTGCTCAACCCTGAATATACGAGTAACGTATCGGAACTAATTCCATCCAAATGAATTCCAAATTCAATTTGACAGTAGATGATTCGATTTTTCATTTAATAACGCAATTGTTTACTTCTCCCGATTGTATCAATTGGAGGCTTTCGGACTATCGACCAATGTATGGGGGAAAGTGAAGACTGGTGCAATGCCAAGATGTTTCTCACCCTTAGTCAAGTGAGCTTTCTGTTTCCTGGTTTAATACGCTCAATACGCTCACTACGGGCCAACTGTGAAAGCTGAAGTAAATGATAACTTACCGGATGTAGGAAACTCTTTTCACATTCTTGTTTGTCTACTTTGAATCAAGTTTTTCACAACTGACCCAGATCTCATAGGTACGTGGACTCACTCGGCATTCTCATCTTGAAATTGAAGTTCAGGTAACAGGACGACTTTGTTCTGACTTCGATGTTTCTCAAATGTTGATTTGTTTTTGAGTGTTGCAGTGCACGTGTTTCTGAAAATAGTCCACAATAGCAAGGGGGATGGATGGGGGATGGGGGAGGAGGCTGACTGTTGGCCGCGTCGGGCGTGCAGGCATCGTAAGTTGCACAAGTGGAGGGGCTTCACAGGAAATTTTCGAAGGTATACTGTGATTGGAAGGTGCAGCCCGACGCGAACGGACAGCCTCGGAAAACTGATCTGCGAGGATTGGTTTTATACAGTACAATATCCAGTAACCTAATGTATATGGTGGCTTAAAATATCGTCGTAATTGAGAGGTGTATCAAAGTTGTGAAAGTGAACTCAGTAAAGCATAGGTGTTTTGATGAACAATACCTATTTAAATCTATTGTGATTATGCGATGAGAACACAATACACAGTGAAACGGTCATAATAGAATTCAAGTGTCCCAGGGTTGCCAAACTCGCCTTACAATGGGGCCCTCGACCATATATGAACAATTCCCACATTTCCAAGAGTTTTATCTAAAAGTAATACATTCATTTTCTAGCATGTGAATTTCAGTCTTGTATTTATTATTTAAACATAAAGGAGAGACCGGGAGAAAGGGGAAAGGGACGATTTGTTACAACCCCGCGCGAGCACAAAAATAAAATTCAAACTGCTGGATTTAAGGTAAAAATGTTTATATCTTTGTCAGCCACATAAAAATTGACTGGGCTACTTCAATCCCAGCTAATTTTAACAGCGTAATAGTTTTGTCATGCTTGATCATGTTATTTATTGTATTAAAAAGCCTTTTTGGGTAAAGTCATGTTTATAAAAGAGCAGCCTGATATTAACGATTCAATTGGCTAAGTAAGTCAACGCGCTACATTAAACGAATCTTATAAAAAACAAATTCTCATTTGAAATCTTTACAATGCGAGATTGTTTACTTTTCTTTTTACTATTTCATCGTGTATGTTGTTTTCATCTAATAACGAAATGTTTAGAGTCGACGTATAAAAACCCTCTTCCATTGCATTTTGATTAGTTATAAAATGATTTCTATTGCATTTCATGATATTCATTTATTGCGATTTTCTATATATATTATTATTCCTTTGTATGTAGTCAAATGATGAACAATAACCCCTACATACATAAAGCATTGGTAACACAACTGTTATGCCTTGGCTTTCTTTGATCTAAAACTGACTCCTCGACAAAAATTCTACTGAATGCAATTTCTAAGTTGTAGTCGATTATTTAACAATGTCGAAAATCTTACTCAAAAAATAACAATTGACTATTCCAAGTTATCAGTTTAGTGAAACATCGAATTCTTTATTTGTATTTATATTTGAGTGTATGAAGTCTGCTGTCTATCAGGCGGTACAATAGTAATCTTCACCTGATGTCATTTAAGGCAATTAAGAATCATACACACTGCTATTAAAATCTATCCTAGAAGCGAAAACACACAGAATGTTTTACATTTGTTCACATATATTTCAAACTGTAGTTTAAATAAATAGGACAATTAATGTTAGAGTTTCTATGTACAGTTCTATTTTTGTAGTTTATTCATTCGATCATAGACTGGCACATTTGCATTCTTCAGTCTGAAATAAAAATTAAAAAACTAATTTACATCTAACGGTGAATGTGTATCGTTCAATGCTCGAGTTATGGCGAGTTTATATATTATCGTATCATATTTTACACGAGTTTTTCTGAGAAATTTTGTTTAATTTCGAAATGCCCCGAAATACAATAACTACATAACAGACCAAAATCATCAGCTAGAAACTGATCTGTCGTTGAAATTTGTCGTACAGGAATTTCCTATGATTGATTTGGTTCGTTTGTATAATGTTACAGATGTAGCAAATTTAAGAAAAACTTCATACCTCAACTTCGACCTCCAAATATGCAAGTCTTATTGGTTTCTTTATAACAACCATCCATAGTTTTGTTTTTTGATCTAGTTTTGGTACGGTACGACAAATCTTGCTACAAAAAAATCCTCCTTTGCATGCTTCGTTTTCATATCTGAAATTATTCAATAAGCGTTGTCAAGTTATTACAGCAGAAAGAAAAATATCTCAAAAATGTGAATTTCGCGGATTATTGAGACTTACTTGCACTTGTTTGATGGTGCGTACTGGTTGAATATGCCTTGATATACATCGAGTGTGTAGACTGAACATCCAAACCATGGGTGGCACCAAGTATATTTTCCTGCTTCCGGCATGACTGGACAAGAAGCGTTGTCACATTTGTTTTTGATTCCCAAATTCTTACAACCATGAAATCCAGGCCTGCAGAAATAAATTATAGCTTTATATACAACACAGAAAATATTAAAAATATTAGGGTGGAATTATGTTTTATTTAAAAGTTCATGTGGAATTATTTAAAAGATGTTTTGATATAACAATATAGTGCTGGACAATAAAATGTATACCATTCCTGACTCTTCCTACTGAGGTACCCGATTTGTACAATGTATACTTACTTAGTGCAAAGAGAGGATTTTGATTCTTTTTCCATCTTGGATGCTGCTATACGGAATGGTGTCCCACGTATTCTGCTCAACTCTTCTGGAGTCTAAATGTGTTTATATAAGTATATTCAGAGATCATTTATAGTTTAACAGATTTTGGGGTGCTGTGAATTTTTTAATGAAGTCAACTTACCTTTAGTTCTGACAAGTCTCCGAGAGCTTGTGGAGGCAGGTCTGTGCTGTAGATCATGTTCAAGTTCAACACACAAAAAATAACGAGAAAAAACACTTTGGCCATTTTTTTGACTTTGTATTTTACGAGTAGTTTTCAACTTTCTTTATTGGAGTCGTCAGATGAAAATATGAGTGATTGCAATTACGACGTCGTATTTATATCAATTTCATCCTTGATCTTTTTATTTATTTTTTCTTTTCTTATGCATAAAACATTACCTAATTTCCGTCTTGAAATTTATGTTCCCAACTTTCGTAGTAACGGGAATCACCCATTTCAATTAAACTTGGTATATTAGTTTATCATTTTGACGTCATTGCATTGCAAGCGCGTTTTTGTGTTCATCACATGATTTTCAAAAAGATGGCGTTCATGAGTAGTTTGATCCAATGAAGTAATATTTATGGGTCTAGATTGCCTGTTGAGTCTGTCACCGGAAAGTAATTGATTCTTGAAGATGGCATTTTTGTTTTAGCAATATACTTCGTGTTAATACACGCAGGAGAAATATTGAGCAAATTTACCAAGCTAATCTAATCTAAAGCCCTAATAGATTATCATAATTTATAAATTTCAAACAGGTTTGAAACAATCATATATCAACAGTATGCAATAGTTGAAAATGAGATTAAAATGAAAAAAATCGTTGTGCAAAATCGTTCTTTTTTTCATATTGTATTGAAAGCTAAGTTAGAAAAGCACACAGCAATACAAGGCACCTCGACAAAAACTTTACGTTAGCTCTTTACTTTTTGCAGTAGTATTATTTAGGTACAACTCATTTAGTTAGTTATCTGTTTCGTCATATTTCATGTTGTTTTTTCTAGAGAATTTATCATTATATTTACAACATTTAATCTTGCTTGGAATTAGACTTCAAATTTCATCACGAAATGTTTACATAAAGCGAAGAAATGAACCGCAATGATATTGCTCAACAATATTTCGTTCCTAGAATTATTACGTTTACTGTAAGCCTTGGGCAAGAAATTTTTATCAAACTCTTGATGTCAGATTTAGGAGCTTTTGTCGTGATTGACCCATAGATGATGCAAAGGACATTGTAAATGAACCATACCCGACTGACTGTTTGTAGGTCAAATTATTGAAATATCACTAAAATATTTGAATTTTAGTATATATTAGTATTAACTATAATGTAACTTTTATGAGTGCTGTTAATCATAATTTCAATATCTCACTGTTTATAATGATGTTCAAAATTATTCAAAAATTTAAATAATATCGCCATTTTCTATTTCGGAACGTCACATGACTCAATACAGATTATATATGACGCTACGCTTGTCTTTCTTATTTTTTAGCAATAGTATGATGAGAAAATAACAGCACTCAAAATTCCCAATGGTCTAAAATTAAAGGTAATATAATCAAATATGTGATTCATTTTGCGTTTACAATTCTAAAATTTATTCGTAATTTCATAAAATACATGAAATATTTCGTTTTTTATGATTATTTTTAAAGAAGCACATACCGTATGTCAATAAAATCTGCTGTTCTGCAGTTGGGAAAAATGAAAGGTCAATATAATATTTCAATTTTTATTTTTGTTTGTGCTATATAATATGAATATTGCTTCAATTCACAATGCCGCTTGACAATATGTGGTCTTCTCTCGCGATCCCTTTTCATGGAGGCTATGAGTAAGTGTGCTCGCTAGGCAGCTAAAAAGTCTTATACTGTACCCTTATCCATGCGCGGTTTTCGTGCCCAGATGTTTGAACATTGCTCATGCCAAGAAAGATTCTTTAGATTAGTATTCATATAATATATTCGGTTCCAATGCTTCATGCAACAAACATCCAGCAAACTTTGATTGTTACGGTGCTTTTCAATTTTTTTCGGGCTTGAGGAACCCCTGTGCCAGCGTTTATTTGCCTTCCATTGTCCGGAATGTATATAGACCAGGGTGGTCCAAACCCATGCCCGCGGGCGTCATTATCTGTGGCCCGCGTCGCCTTTGCTGAGGAGTAATCGAAAAATTGAATTTGGTGTTGTTTCGTCATAAAAATAACAGAAAATTTTTTCGACATCTTGTCACATCATTAATGTCACTGAATTGACTATGGTCGCGGCTAGCTGAAGCAACTAGCGAAGTTGAGTTGAGTGTGCTTGTGTAGTCCAAATCGTTCACTGGCTTTCTATCTTTTTGGTGGGAATATATTCCAATAGTTATGCTAACTAAATATTAATGTTATGGCCTGAGAATATAATTCGTTCCGGTGATGTTTTGCAACCAGCCTAATCAGTATTACAAAAAAATGCTTCTTATATTTCAGAAAAATTAGTAATTATTCTCCTGTACCTTACATTTGGTAAAATATGATAATCGATCATTCTACAGTTATAGCAAATATAATCTAAACCGGCATTTTGCTATCATGTGAGCAATTAGCATTTCCAAATTTTAAGGGATTTTGCTTTGAGAGCCTCATCGATGTCCGAGAGCGCTCACATTTGCAGGAGCACTTTCTCCGTTATGAATAGTTTGAAATCTTACATTGAATGTATATACAGTAAAACATCTGCATGATTCAGTGATTTTTCTGGCGTAGTTTGCGTGTTTAAGCTTGATAAATGACAAACAATGATCAATTGTTTGCACAATAAAAGTGTTTGTTTTGTATTGTCCTGTTTACCTATTTCTGACACTATTGAGGCTCGCAGACAATGGAAAAATAGTTTTGTGGCCCGCGAAGGCGACAACCTTGGACCACCCTGGATAGACTATAAATATATATGTATATAATAACAAATCTAGTATTTGATTATTTAAATTAATATTGACTCGTGGAATGTACGCTACTGCCTGGAGTCCGGGACCCTACAGAAATCCAGATGAAAACCACTGCTATGGTATATATATTCTATCAGTGGCGGCGCGTCAATAGGGCCAACCGGGGCAATGCCCCGGTTGTTTTTTCGGTATAATAAAAAGTATTCGAAAAATACCTCAATATCGGTTGCACAGACTGTCTACACTAGCCATATTCTCCCGACATGGTTCATTTTTCGCTCGCAAAGCCTTCGCCGAACGTCGACGGGGCGACGCCGATTTTGCCCCGGTTGCTCATTTTATATCGTATTCTCTCTTTTATCTTCCACTCGCCGCGTTTGTCTCGTTTGTTTTCTGTTTCTTTTACTAAATCATCGGGGCCGATCGGGGCTAGCCCCGAAATTATGACGACACAATGCCGACGTTTCTTACAACAACGTGTTGACATATTCACGCATTCCTTCTCGTTCGTTGGTTGCTTGAAGAGTTGATAGTTTCCTCGCCTTCGTTTTTGTCGCTTGTTTCGCTATTTGAATCAGTTAGAGACCTTTAGTCCATTTGCTTTCGATTTTCCACATTCCTTTTGAGCTCCTCACTTCTTTCCGGCTTCGCATTTCTTAGCCTTAGACCTCATAATGAATAAGGTTGATGCACTACTTCGCACTCCGTTTTCGCAGCTGCCGCTGGAACAAAAATTAGAGGTACAACGTCTTGGGCCTTATTAACCAAAAAATTGTTCACTGGAACAATCCCATGACGGAGGAAAGCGTCGGCGTACATTCTGCGCAGAAACTTGGTATAAAAAACACGAATAGTTGTGTTACAGCGAGGACAAAAATGCACTTTTTTGTTTTTATTGCCTACTTTTTGCTACCGCCCGTGACTCACGTTGATGTAAATTTGGTTTTAGAGATCTTAAACATCTTTCCGAGCGTGCCAGGGATCATCAATCTTCTATGGAGCATCTGGACAATGCAGTAAAATACCGAACATTCGGAAATGTTAATATTGCAGCACAGTTGGATGAAGGACGCGCGGTTTCTATTCGTCGGCACAACCGAAACGTCGAGAAAAACCGCCATGTTCTCGGTCGATTGATAAATGTTTTGAAGTTCATTGGTTGTCACGAGCTGTCCCTCCGTGGGCACGATGAACGGGCTGGCTCTTCTAATTGAGGGGGATTTTTGGATATGGTGGAATACACCGCATCCCTAGATACAGTATTGAGAGATCATCTTGATGCCGCAACTGTTTCGAAAGGGACATCTAAGGATATCCAAAATGATTTGCTCGACTCAATGTATAAAATTTATTTACAACATTTGGCTCACAGCTTTGTACCAATCGTTGATCGCACGGTTATCGGGATATCGGCTGTACTGAAAGAAGTGTTACAGCCTTACAACGCGAAGTCAAAATTGATAGCTCAAACTTATGACGGCGCGGCAGTCATGAGTGGGTCGAAACATGGTGTTCAAGTTTATATAAAAGAAGATTTTCCTCATGCGCATCTTTTACATTGTTATGCACACCAATTTAACCTCGTTATTAAAAATATGTGTCCTGATACCCCTCTCGTCCGTATATTTTTTGCAAATGTTTCGGGGTTTTCTTCATTTTTTTCCGTTTCGCCGAAGCGCTCTGACCTCCTTCGCTAGATATGTAGCCGCCGTCTCCCAGCTTGTGCACCAACACGTTGGAACTTCCAATCACGCGTGGTGCAGGGCGTGTCCGAAATTAGGTCTGAGCTCATTGAGTGTTTCAATGGCATTCAGAGCTCTCCGGTTTGGGACGAACGCTCTGTGAGGGAGGCGGCAGGTCTAAAGCGTCTGCTAGAAGATGGTGAGTTTTCATTTTTTCTCGTTTTTTTTTCCACAATATTCTATCACGTGGATGTATTATACGGCGCATTGCAGTCAAGGCTAATGGATGTAGCGTCTGTGCAGTCGTATATTTCAGACTTTTGCGATGCTGTATCTCGTATCCGGGAAACAATAAAATACGACGACACATGGAGTGCTTCTTTACGCCGCGGGCAAACAACGCAGCGTTTGATTTTGTCTGCAAAGGAATGCTGTGACATTCTGGTGAATCAAATAGGCGATCGTCTGCGCACTGAACACCTTGCCGCGTTCTCTTTGAGGAACCCCAAAAATTTGCACTTCAATTTCCCATCCATTTGTTGGCTACTGTCTCCAAATTTTACCCCATGATAAACGTGGGTAAATTGGAAAATGAATTGCGATGTATATACACCAATTAAACTTTGAACATCACATCAACTTGAGCGCT